ACTAAGTCTTTACATTTCTCAGGAGATTTCAGCATCCCTCTGTCTTTATCAGGACCTGAGCCAGTGCAGATACAGTACCGCCTCCACCTGTCTCACCAACGGCAGAGTCCAGACAGTGAGGAGGGTCTAGGTGAGTAACATGCTATCATTCACTTTGAAAAGTAAGACTTATCTATACCACTGTGATTAAATCAGACCCACAGTGTATACATGTTCATACTGCTGATTTTTACTAATGAATATACCACTGCTATATTGTGTATTTTTCAGTATATCCGTATTTGTTGGTTATATAGTCTGTGTAGATTGATTTCTTATCACACCTCTAGTTGTTTGCCCTTTTCCTTGCATTTATATCTCATAATATTCATACTGTATGTATTTTTTCATATTCATATCTATCCTCACAATTTATTATACACACACACACACACACACACACACAACACAGCTCTAACATGTTTGAATATAAAGAACTTGTATGGTCAAAACAAATTGTCCTATCACATGTTTGTCTGTATCAGGACCAGAAGTCCAGTCTAATCACCACCAGTGATGGACCAGCACCTGCCTTTTCTTCTGCTTCTGGCCTCATCAATCAACCACATTACATCAACACCTTGAGGTATGATCGCTGCACATGACAGATTTTGTCTATACTGTGATCTTTTGCACATCTTGCCCAGCAGGAGTTTTGTCATTCTAAAACACTTTTGTACATAGTTGTGTAGTATTTCATTTATTTTATGTATGTATATTTGAATGTTGAAGTATTTTTATTTCCTGTGAATACATCAATTGGATACTACACCAAGCCAAATATCTTGTAAGTGAAAACTTACCTGGAAATAAACCTTATTTTCTGAGTCTGCCTTTGTGACGTCGTCATCCTGTCCTCATGCTGCTATAGCCTGCCAAGGACCACCCCTGTGTCCTGCAGTGTGCCCTTGCCCCTTTCACACCTGAATTTGAATTCTACTTGTAACCTCAGTGTCACACACTTGCATGAATTCTGAGCACCACGTTTTACAGTTTTGTGCTTTGTATGTGTACACAGACATTGACAGAAGCATTCCTCTTTCAATGTCTTTGTTGCCTCACCACTGTGTTTTTATGTATATGAATCTCTGCAACAAATTCTTCACATGTACATGTATCATTTGTTCAGATTTATTCATCAAGTCTTGTTTTTATTACAGTATATGCTAAATGAGGTTTAAATGGATGATTGATTCATCTTTTATCTTCTGAAGTCCTTAGAATGCTTCAGAAACATTTCATAGTCAAAAGAGGAGCTGCTTGACATGTCCTTATTTTTCCTTTTGTGTTTTCATAGGGATGGCAGAATCCACCTCAGGCCAGAACCACGCCTTGCCCAGCAAGAAATGGTAAGTCATGCGCATGACTCGACCCCATACATATAGGCTCAAATTAGGGTCAAAATGACTGAGCTTGTAAAGTGACCTTCACAATTCCAATGTTTGTAGTTGTAAATCAACCTTTGTAAACCTGTAAAATAAATCTGCAGGAGAAATTCAAGTTTCTGCTTGTGAAACAGTTGCGCTTGTGTCGAAGAGATTTGTATTTGTTGAAAGTCTGAATCAAAACTCAACAATGATCAGTGTTGATGTTGAACAAAGACACTAAAAGAAGAAATGGATTTGTTAACATCTGTGTCGTGATACAGAGAAGAGAACTGTAAAACTCGGGTCAGAAGTTCCCACAGTGACACTGACGTGACAAGGATCAAAATTCATACTTGTCAGTGTCACACTGGGAATGTTGCACACTGAGTTTTACAGTTGTCTGCTCTTTATCTCTGTACACAGACGTCCACAAAAGCATTTCTTCTTTCCCTGTGTCTTTGTTGAACCTCACCACTGATCGTTAGTTCAGTTTTGATTCACACTGTCTTAACAAATACAAATCTCTTTGCCACAAGCACAATTTGTTTTCACATGCACAAACTTGAATTTCTCCTGCAGATTTATTTTCCAGGTTTACAAAGGTTGATTTACAACTACAAATATTGGAATTATTTGTAAACATCACTTTATAAGCTCAAAATGATGCTGAACCGGGGGCTGAGTCTGGGTTTTCGTTAGCATTAGCATTTTTATTTTTTATTTTTTTTTTGAATTTCTTTATTGGTGAAAAACAGACAAACAGAACAGGGGTTGGGGGGCTAGCATGCTAGCATTAGCAGCTAGCATTAGCTTTTCTTTTTCTTATGGGTGAAAAAATGGACAAACTGAACAGAGGGGGTGGGGGGACTAGTTTGCTAGCATTTGTATTAGCACTGATCATCAGGATTAGCTTCTTTTTTTATAATGACATGCTAACAAGGATATACTATAAATAAATGATGATAATGGCGGCAATATACGTGTGTGTGTGTGTACAGCATATAGACCTCCCCATTTTCATTTGCTCTAGCATTAGTAGCTTGCTTGCTGGAGTTTTTTATTGACTGAATTTGACAAGTGGGGGGGCTAGTTTGCTATCATTAGCATTAGCTTTCTTTTCTCTTGTTTATTGTTGCAAAAAGCAGGGACAAATAGAAGGTGACACGGGTGGGGGGGGTAGCTTGCTAGCATTAGCAGCTAGCTTTCTGGTTTCTGGTGCTTTTTTTTTTTTTTTTTTTTTTTTTTTTTTAAAAACCTTTATTGGTGAGAAACAGGGACAAACACAACATAGGGGTTGGGGTTAGCATTATCAGCTAGCATTAGCTTTTCTTTTTTCTGTATGCTAAATTCACACACAAATATTAACATACATTTGATCTATTTTATTTTATTTTTTTCCCCCCCTTTCTTCCTCCCCCAGGTGACAAAGAAGCTCGCTGGTGCTGCTTCTGAAACGGTTGCCTGGGTTACCATTCTTGGTGTGTTGGTTTTCCAGGATGGTGGCTGGATTGATGACGCTGCATCTTAGAGGTGGACCCCTGGAGGTGCCCGTTGTTCTCCTTGTGTTTCCTCCAGGGCTCTGATTACTAGAACAAACACATGACATTTCATTCACTGAGGACTCTAAATTGTCCATAGGTTTGAATGTATAGGTGTGTGTGTGATTGTGATTGTGATTGTGTGTTGTGTGATAAACCATTTCACAGTTCATTTGTCATTTTACAGACTTTTGTTCACAATTTAAAAAAAACAGGAAATTACTGTTAGAAAACGTAGTTATTTTCCGTAAAACTAGGAATTTTTTTTAGTGTACTGATAAGCTGTGGGATGGATACTGTATATGCTTATGTAAGATTTGTCTACAATATAAGTATAAATGTATGTATTTGTATAAGCTAGTTATATGTCATTATATGAAATCGTTCCAATTTCTTATCTATAAATTTTTACATAGGCTATATGTACATATAAAATAATCATGTATATTTCATATATGGAAGTTCAATATATGTACATATATTTGCATATGGGACATGTTCTTGACATGTTATGGGACATGTTATCTCTAGTTGCTGGGTGAAGGAATTTTACTCCTTCACAATTTCTTCTTATTTTTAGGCCTCACTAACACTCCAGTTCCCGTCAGGACATCACATGCTGAAAAAATGGTTCACTGTTGAGCTTTTATTACGACTGTTGGTGTCTGTGGAGCCACCACTATCCTCTGTTGCTGGGGTACCGGAGGTCTTAGAGATAAGGATGCAGGAAGAAGCAGAAACTGAGAGAGAACTGCCCAAACACAGTTCAGGGAAAAGATAAGACAGATGTAATATTAATTAGGTAAGAGCATGTGATAATGGTCAGATTTTAGTGTCCAATAGAATCCTCACACATGTAGGTTTAGGCATAGTTTAGCCTTATTTGGTTTGGGTACGGAGGAGTGTTGCAACCATGTGATAGGAATATATAGACCCTGTAGGACCAGGCATCTTCAGTCAGACTGGTGGAGACTGGTGGACTGCTGAGTCTCTGCTCCAGATTACAATAAATCCTCCTGCCTGAGACGTGTGAACTCCTGCTGATCGTCTCTCTCTCCAGCTCACAAGATTTCAACCACATGCAGCATCAAAGTGTGTGTTATTTACCCTTTAATTCCAGTTTAGTGTGTCATGGCTACGAAAACATTACCTTTTTTTTTTTTTTCAACAATGGTCTCTCATTATTTTATATTTTTCAGCACAAGACAGAGCATATTAAATACAACATATGGGAAAATATAAGAGAAGATGTTTATATATCTGTGTGTGTGTAAAAGTCGTAAGCCAGGAGCACTCACAGTAAAATAAATGAATAATGTTGCCTGTTTCACCTACTGGCTGACTTGTGTAACTTCTTTTGCTGACTTCAGCGGGGGAGATTTGAAACATTTCCACAGATTTGATTGCTCTGGGAACTTTGTTCTCTGAGGTCCAGATTATTTTAAGGCAGAAAAAAAAGTCAGCTGTGAAAAGACTTCCAGCAACTGCAGTGCTTGGACCTCAAACTGCATCTGAAAACATCTCTTAAAGCATTTTTCCTATGGGGCTATTTAATCAGAGTGCCTCTGGTGTACTTATAACCTGGATTATACTTGACGGCCCAAGGTAGAAGGAAAAAAAAGAAAAAAGAAAAAGGAACTTAAGGAGTCACAAAAGGGCCAGAGGAGGCTTCACAGCCTGCAGATGAATCTTTATCATTGGAGCTGTGATTGGTGCTGGGAGGGAAATTGCCCCAGGACAGTCTGGAGGATCCAGCTACTGTTCATTTAAATTCCACCGACAGAATCTTCCTATTGTAGTTGGTGCAAATCTCATGTCCCATGTAAATCCACCCAGTAAAAAAGCCACATGTTCCATAGTGCATGAAGTCGTAAAGCGGTTCATTTCATTACATGAGATATATCTAATTAATGCCAGATTAGTTGGGTGCTACAAAATATATTAATGACTCCAGCATTTCTCAGCAGAGGGACTATATTAAAAAAATTTACATTCCCATTTCTGGCAAATTTCCACCATCCCTCCTGTTTGTCATCCAGGGTGTCAGCAGCTGGATTACACACAAACCCCTTCAGCGACAAGACAAGATGACGTGTGCTGTTTAGTCGAGCCAAAACGTTTATTACACACCATCGCAGGAGACATGCACTTGCAGCACTTCACAGTGCACTATCCCAACTGTAGCTCTCATTTTGAAAACACATACAAACCATGAAATAATTTAAAACGAAACACATATTAAAAAAGGGTTACACTTGTTTTGTTTTTTTTTTTTATACATGTTCATAATACTGCTTCATAAAATGTATCACAGAAATTAGCTTTTGACACAGAGCAAACCATAGGAACCAACTCAGGTATTACACTGACACTGTGCTTGTTGATAGTTAGAGGATAAACTGTGAACCAGTGACATCCGAGAGCGAATGTCACAGAGAGGACAAGCGTTGGAGAAAAGAGTCTGTTCAGGGAGGAGGAGAAGGAGAAGGAAGAGGAGGAGGAAGAGGACGAGGGTGGGTCTATATCTCTCCCTCTCTGATGTAAAACAATCCAAGAGTGCTGAATGGCAGAGAGGTCAACTGCTAGGCGTAGAAGGTTTCCACTTTCACTGCCTGACAGAACATTGTCATGGAGAAGACCAGGCCCAGGATCTGCACAAACATAAGAAACAAATCAGGCGTTAATGCCTTTACATGTCCATGTGTAAAGCCACAGCGAAATGAACAAGGAAGTCTTCTGTCTGTTTGGCTCATTCTCTGGATCATAATGTCCACCTGTGTGACAATAACTGCCAAAAAGATTAACTTTCTCACAGTGTTATGTTCACATCTCATTACATTTATATCTTGGATAATAACAAGAGGAGCATCTGCGCACTCCAGTCTGTGCAATATTCATCTATTAAATATTACACAGATTGGAGAGTGTGGATGCTTTTCTTTTTATTATTACCATTATGTTGTATCTTTGCTCTTTCCTTTATTGGACCCAGTTTCAACTTAAAATTCAAAACACACAACAACAAATTCTAAACCTATTCTCCCCGTTAGCTGGTAACTGTAAGAAATTGGATCCTGCATGAACAAGATTTTCTGCCAGAGTTGCCAAACAGTTTCTGTGTTTGTGATAACTGGTTTGAGTGTGGCTCAGTTGGGTAAAAGGTTGTGCTATGTTCTTATATTTACTAATACTGATTTGTTAACATTTGACTCAATGTGACAACAGTTGCTGCTTATGTTAAAAGGTATATCAAATTTGATCAAGCCACACACACAGTCCTGATGAAGTAAGTTAGCTTGAGTAAATACTCAATAAATATTTTAATTTAATACATTTTATATTATGCTCATTTATTCAAATATTTAATGTTATGTCTGTCGGCTTTTAATGACATTAAGATGTTAAAAATTTGTATATAACAAGATTTAAAATTTTCATTTAAAAGAATATGTAACTTCTCCGCATTAAAATGTCTTAAAAATGAATAAAGCTATGTTATATATTTTGTTAAGTTGTGTTACATTATCCCAAATGTTCCCAGCAATGTTCAAACCTAAATATGTAACTTTAATCAAGGTAATGGTCAGTTTTCCCTTTGCGCATGTGTCAGTGTCTGCCACAAGTGTCAAAATTGGCTTATTATCCAGTTTTTTTTTACAACACACTTTTAGTTTTTGGTAGTTTTTAACTATATACTTTTACCAGATGAAGGATTTTATCCAGTGGACTTCTGGATCTTAAGTTATCAGAGAAACTGTGGTTCTTATCATGAAACTGTTTTATTTAGTATTTTTTTTTACAAGATTTAATCTGTTTGTTTTTGAGAGGAGGAGACCTTTGCAGATGATTTGGTAATTTTCTTTAAAATAGTGGAGTAATGGCGTCCTGAGCAGATAACGAAGCCACACCCACTTTGTGTGTGTTGTTCTGTTTTGCGCGCGCATGTTAGTGCACATGAGTTGCTCCTGCTAAATCATTGGCTCTCCTGACATTTAGAAACACACAGAGACCTCCCACTCATAAGATGACGCGGTGACAAGCAAGATCACACCAGAAGTCGTGATGTATCATCACATTCATTTCATCATTTTCATCATTCATCTGGCTGGTCAACACAAATAATTCCGTGACGGGACTGTTGCTAAGCAACACATAAACATTTTCCTGACCGGCACACTAGCTTTGCTACACTGTGTACACATTACCTTTGGTGTGTCCTAAATAGGTAATGACCGTTAATGTAACGCAAATGAACGGTTGAACACCCGTAAAGCGGAGTGATACATGTTGTACTCATCAAATCAAATGACTTGGTCAGAACTAACTTCTGTAAAGTACAGTATGCAGCGGTCAGGTGGAAACGACCCTACACAATTTCTTCCAAGGAAAAAACGCGGTTTTCCGCCTAAAATGGGGTTCGACAAAGAAGGAAATAAGACGCAGAGCACCGGGGGACTGGGCATGGGGACTACCAGATCAAATCCCGCTCTGCCGGTCGACCTTCCAAACATCCACGAAGTTTATTAACGTGTTTACCGGCTCCTGGTGTCATTCCTGATGCCGGGCGTGAAGGCCAAGGCTGAGTGTCTCTCCCAGTCGGACCGTGGAGCCAATACTGCTCGTTTTACCAAGATGGAAAACTCAGCTGGACTCAGAACTGACTTTTCTTCACATCCATGTGAGTACCTTGATGGCTACATGTCTGTTTTCATTAGTGATCGGCTAAAGGAGGCATGCTAACGTTAGCTAACTTGCTGTTGTTGTGGCTACTGATGTTGTGAATTTGTTCGGCAAATGTTGCTATCGCTAGCTGGCTAGCTGTTAGCATTGCTGTGGAGCATATCGCGGCGATGCTAGCCTGGGCTAATTGTTGTGGCTGTGTTGTTATTTTCGTGGTTCTCTTGTACATAGATTAACTTTATACAGTTGTGCTTTGTTGTGTGTGTTTAAGGGCCGCTTTCACTGGGTTTCGTTACACCTTGCTGACAACAAGAAGGGGTGGGGGTTACGGCCAACGATACCTTTGTTTTGGTCTGAGATGCCGGTGGTCTAGTGAGTAATTTAGTGGCAGTAATGGAGTACTGCAGGAACATACTGTTTACCTGGGCTATCAAATGGCCCGTTTTACAGTTTGTTCAGTCGGTCTATCATAAGATTTAAACACATAAAAGACATAATAAGCACAAATTAGGCAGTAAATAAAAATGGTGCAGGAGCTTTTTCTGAAGGAGAAAGTTATGTCTCTTCTCACGGCAAATTTGCGAAGTGGGCATGTACAGTATCCGTGTGTAACTGAATTATAAGACCACTAGGGTTCAAACTCTTTGGACTTTTGAAGCCTAAAAATGTCGTAATGAATCTTCATCATCAGTCCTATTTTTATCCAGTTTACTGTGTCACACTTAATGGCTACTGTTACTAGCACATTCCCAAAGACCTTCCACTGTTATTCCCATGATGAAAATGATGGCCACAGCTGGGTCTTGTGAGAAATTGTGACACTTCTTTCAAAATCTTAATTTTTGTCCACAACTAGGATGAGTTTCTTCACCATTAATTGGAGGATATCAGAAAACAACTATAAAAAAAACAACTGTAATAAATTGTTGTTTATCTGCTTTTGTGTGTATAAAGTAAAATAAAAGTGAAACAATATTTTTTATAACATTGAGCTGTTGTCCAGTATTATTTTGAATGATCATCACTAAATGTTTGTATATTTTCATAGACAGTCATTTTCCATGTATTTGGGGTTCCTCTCGCTTTATAGTTTTTGACAAAATATTGACAAAATGAGAAGTCAGACAGTTTAAAAGCTGCTAATTGTAGGAAAAGTGAATACAGAGAGGGTCTGCCAAAAGACAAAAAAAAAGAACCTGGAAACCAAAGGGTTAATGCATATAACCAAATATTGATTCAACTTTTCATGTACGAAAGAAAGAATATTATTTCTTCTTTCACAAATTTCAAAAACATGCTTTAATTTGTCATCCTTGCCGGAACATAAAGCATAATCGTGCTATTCTTTGTATTGTATAATGCAGTGAGTGAGCTGGAAAAATCACAGATACTTGAGATAAGTCTGGTCGTGATTACATCTTCCTTCTGGTTTTCATGTTGCTGCATGTAGGATTTTCAAACAGGGCCTTGAGAATCTTAACGGGTGACTAAAAAGGAGCCTGCAGCATCACAGGAGCCTCGTGTGATCGATGTTTTCAAGAACAGCATATTTCTCCCCTCAGATTGTCGAAGCACATCACGTACCACTTGGCTGGAGAGGACATAAAAGAATTTTATGGAAAGTAAAACCCGTCTACGTGGTCTTCAGTGGTAACACAAGAGGTTTATACAAGCTCCTGCTGTCCATAGAAAGCCTACGCTCAGTGCTCAATGCAAAATACACTGGAAGTATTAGGTTTATTTATCGCCAAGTAAGAGCCTCCGTCTGAGACTGTGGATATCAAGAACTGAGTTAATGACTGCAGAAAAAAAATAATTCACACAACTTAGATGCTGTAATTACCTGAGTAAGTGCTGTGCATAGAGCAAAGATCCAGAGTGCCACCAGGTTCTCATTAAGCCAGTCCTTTACCCGCTCGTAGCACGGCTGTGGAGACACACACACAGAATGAGCAAACATTAGCAGACAAATGTAAACTCACCACTTTGATGTCCAGTGTTATATACAATAGAAAGATGTACAATTTACAGTGAGTCTCTTCCTTTAGTAAAAAAACTAGAAAATGTCCCCTGTGGCAACAACCTTATCTCCTCCTCCTCCTCCTCCTCTGACCTAATATTCTTTGGGAAAAGTTTTCCCAGAATTGAAGTAAGTCCCCGCCGTCCTTGTTTCCCTTCAGCTGTACAAACAGGAGAAATGTGAATACCAGAACAGCACATGCACCGGAGGCATCATTTAGACATGAGAATAGGCTGAATTTTTCATGTCTGACATTGTTTGAATACATTCTGAAGGCAACTCAATAAAAAAAGAAAAAAGAAAATTCTCCACCCGCTTACTTCTTCCTCGTTTTTTTTTTTTTTTTTTTATGTCACTAGCACATTTTCACCACCTACAGTACATTTCAAAATCTCCTTTGAAACTCTGGAAAATGCCCCTGAGCCCAGCAGTGCCCAGCAGACAGAGAGAAAAGAGAGATAATTATTATTAATAGGGGGAAGAGAGCAATGTCCTTCTGGGACTAGGGTGTAAGCAAATAATAAAAAGGAAATGAATCCTGAAAGCAAAGAAAGTAGCTTTCAAAGAACAGCTGAATGCTGACATTAAAAGTGATAGGAGTCACATTTGGCATGTTGTTCCTCCACCTCATACATTTGAAAGATATGTGTGCCAAATTGTGTGTTTGATTGTGTTAGTTACATTTGAGAAAAGACTGTCTGACACACTGTAGTACAGGGAGAGGTGCTATCATAACAGGCTACACTGCTGCTATAATTAAATTATTCATTTCTGCAGACATGCCTTCCCGATTGTGCTATTTTTTAAATCTCCTTACATCAAGAAGCTGAGTCAGAGCCAGGGAAACCAAACACGCTCCACTCTGTATTTCACCGCTGCTCGGAACGTCAGGAAACCCAAAAATATATTTTCTTTAGCACAAGGTGAAATAATTCTAGGCTGGATCAATATGGAAAGTCATGCTGTAAGCCAAATTTAGGACGGCTTTGGTGTTATTTATCAAACTGCTGCCCAAAGGCAACCCTCCTGGCCCACAGAGCTGCATCTGAAAATATATAAATTCAGATTGTTCTTGTTTGACGTCCACTGCAAACTCTCAGAAGACCAGGAGAAACAAATAAACTGCTCAGCCACTTGCAGCACAGGGATGGTGCTATATTAACAACAAAGTAGTTCTGTGCAACAAAATAATGAAATCTTAAAGTGGTTATAATTATATTATACAGTAAACATACTGTATGCTGTTTGAACAGTCATTTTTATAGTGATGGTCTCTTTGTTTCCATCCACAGGCTAAACTGCATTTACAGTAGTGCACTCATGGCCTTCAAACATTTGCAGGCTTTCAAACTGTGAGTGCATTTGTGTGTGTTGTATTTGTCTGTGTCATTTAGTGCTTGTTTCTGTTCATAAGACCATGAAGAGTTCTTTTTTTTCTGACACAGTTCCTGAGTCCATGAACACTCGGCCGTCAATGACATGAGCCTTGAGAATCTAAATCAAATGTCAAGGATCAGGCTTTATTCCACTTCTCTTCATTACAAAACTGTATAGTGAAAAGCAACATATGAGGAAATTATACGATTTGGATGTAGTCTATATAATGAAAGTCGTGACATAATTGCTGAAAATAACTCTAGTGAGGTGCTGCAAAGATATTGCACAGCACCAAGATCACAGACCTTCCCATTTATTCAACTGCGACATTGTTTATGCGTGGGTGGGCGGAGTGAATCTTCTTGTTACTATCATAGACTGTAAATAAAGATGGACGTGAGGTCACCCAAAGGTTTTTCTGAAGAGTGGTTTTGACGTCAGAGTGAGCTGTTGCCATCTTGGCGGTGCCTGACTCCGCCCTCTTACTCTCGGCTAATCCAACAATGGATGAAGAGGTGGGGCATGTGTGGAGCTGAGACTTCGGTGCATGCCAATTGGTGGTAACCACCTGTCACTCAAAGAGGCCACGCCCTCGATTATACATAACTTTAGCCTTATTGAAATGTAAACAGGTGAGTTATATAAACAGGTGTCATGAAGGAGGAAATTAGCTCTAGAGACCAAAACAGTTTCTGTACCAGGCTGTAAACATGTTGATTTCTGCTGTAAAGTTGGACATTTTAACATGGGAGTCTATGGGGACTGACTCACTGTTGGAGCCAGACTCTAGTGGTCATTAGAGGAACTGCAGCTTTTGGCACTTAAGTGTTCATGTTCCAGCCCCAGAGTTTGCTGCTTTGGTACTACAAACTAAATCTCAGCATGGTGGTTCTTTGATTATGTTGACCAACCAAACGGGAACCTGAACCCAAAGAAATCTGATACAGGTCACTAGAGAGTGGAAAAGAAGCTGAATTAGCTAAGTAGCTACTTAACATTAATTCCATCCATCCAATGACGGTCTGATAAACATTCACGAGAGTTGAAATGCTTTTCTTTCAATTGAATTTGGGTAAAGCGTTGAAATGCATGTTAAAATTAGGTTCCCCTCTATGTTTTCATTGTCATTGGAAGATTGTCCTGGAGGCTGTTAACATTTGAATATCAATATTAATTCACCCTGTGTTTACTTTCTTCACTGACAGACGAAAATGAGAAGACTGTGTCAATCAAAGCACAACTTTGGGAGGAGCAGCGATGCGTGACAAGATGGAGAGAGAGAGAGAAAGAGGGTGATGGAGATGAGAGAGGAAGAGCAGGTACGCAAAAAAATTGGAAATCTAAGTAAGATGAAATATCTTCAATTAAGGCAATGCATGCTCGTTTTTATTTCCGCTTCCCAGACAGTTTTTATGTTGGAGAATTTCACTTGTTTCAAGCTTATTTAAATTTTAAGCCTATTTTAAGTAATATTTCCCCCATTTCATCACTTCTTTTTTCTTGTTTTCTTGTTTTTGAGAGCTTAGTTTTAAAGTGTTCACAACAGGATTAGCATTATGTCTCTAACAAAACTAAATGACCTGATCACATTCAAACAATGAGCATCTTATTACCACAGAGATACATGTTCTTTGGTAATTACAATGGAAGCTTTCAGCACAAACCTATATGTTATTATTGTATAAATACATTATTGTTTAAAACACATTTTGCTTATGTTCATCTACTGTTTGAGACACACTCCCATAATTGAATGGTTTTAAAGTTATTCTTATCTAATTCTTGCCCTCCAAACATCTTGAAATGCACATAGATAGGTAGATCAGGGAAATCTACATTTTTCAGAGAGCATGCCCTTGAGCTCCCTAGCAAGCCCAGGTTTTGAATTATTTCCTGGTGTTTCTAAAACCCTGCATATGGACATGAACAACATAAACCTGCCGGTGTCTTTGAATGGCTTAATATACTTTTTTTTGTTGCTTTGAGCCCAAAAGAGAAACGTCTGGATCAAACCGGCCGTTACTAAAATACTATAGGTATTGTGAGGTATACAAGTGAAAGCAAGTACAGAGGACATATTTAAAAATGAAGGCATTACTGGAAGAGAGAACTGCTGTGCTTCAATGTGAACTACAGGAACCGAATCCTTGATCTGCAGGACAAACATTAATCAAAATACAAAACGAGCCAGATTAATTTTGTTGTCAAAACGTCTGTCACACTAGAAAGGCTGAGGGAATTTGGAGGTCTACGTGAAGGCCAACAAGCTGTCACCTGAAGGAGGTAATGCATAATTTTGAAAATTCTTTCAATGATTTTTGTGAAAGCTGGTCTCAGGAAAAAGTAATGAAAGGACATTTTAAAAGGTTATGTCTTTCATTCCTAAAATTGAAAAAATTGAAAACGGCTGCAGCTTGACCACAGCCTGGCCTTTCCACTGCTGAGGGGACAAATTAAATCCAGTCGTAAACAATTGGAGTAAGAGGATTGTAGTGTATTTAGAGATGAAAGGCTGACCCTGATGCCATCATATTTAAGATCTGGCCTTTGCAAGTTTTTACTGACGATTTGCTTTATTTACTAAACTGAAGAGTGAGATTCGGTGTACGTGTGCTGTCAAATGAGGCTCACACTGATAGAAATAACTCGGGTTTCATACGGTTTTAAACACAAAATTTTAGTCATCCAACAAGGTAGGAGTGACATTAATGCCACACTTGATGTGGAGCTTTATAATCTGTGACTGTTTCTACAGGCAACATCTGGCATGTTCGATATGATTTTTGAAATGGGCCCATTTACCATTTTGCTGCAACAACCTAATAACATCAGAGGCTACACAGAAATCTTCATTACGGTTCATCAGCTTCACTTGTTATGATGCGCACTGACTGCTGTGGCACTGCCGGGGGACAGAAGTAAACTACTCATTGTGTTAAGTGGCCCCCAACATTTGTTAGTCCTTTACGATAACAATGTGTCGACCTCAAAACCGCTATTTAATTTCACCACTCCTCCCATCACATTTTATTTTTATCTTTCATGCTGGTGCCTCCAAATAATATGGCAATTATCAGCTTTTGCAGTTGGCAGAGCTGATCAGCAGCTGTTGTGTAGGTCTGCTGAGTTACACCAGAATTTAAATATTAAACAAGCAGAAAAGGCATCTCTGCAGGGCTTTTATAATGATCCAGGGTGAAATATTATTTTATTTACATGCACTGTAAACATCATACAGGAACGCATCTGTTTTCTCCGTCAATCTAGAAATTTAGTTAATTTCAAGTTAATTCAAAATTTTCAGATTACTTCAGATGTTTAAACAGTCCAAGTTCTTCTAATTTGAAGTCTTTTGACTTGAAATGAGGAGGTGAAAACTTGCTGTGTAATATACAGTATGTTAAATTAAGTTGTGGCTGTTTCGTTTTAAAATAATAAGCACAGTATTGAATTAAGTCCCTACCCAGTGCATTAAAAAACTAACAATAATTTAACAAGGTCACTGGGAGCAGCCTTGCACCTCAAATAGAAGATGCTTAAGTGAATTTTATTCCAATATTTAATGTCCTTGAGACCAAAGACCAAAAGTAAAACCCTGAGGGATCCCACAGGAAACAGTGGATTGAGGATGAGACCATAGCCACCAGTGCAGGTGTCTCTGACTGAAAGACTGACTCTGAAACACCCGCCCCACGTTTCAGCATGACAGCGGTGTGGTCTACTTTGTCAAAGGGTGATTGAAACGCTGGAGGAAGTTCGCGATTTGATGCATCAGCTGCCAAGAGGAGGACATTAGTTAAGATGGCTGATTCTGTCAGATGGAGCTCAGCCTCTGAAACCAGACTGGAATTTCCAAAGATGGTTCTGAAGCTGGAGAGACAGCAGTGCAATAAAAACCGTTTTCTCCAGGAGACACGGGAAGAAAGGGAATTTTGAAGAGGGAGTCTCTTGTTGTTCAGGACTGAGAAAAGAAAAGTAGGGGCTGTACTATTGTACTTGAAAGAAAGAGGTCAGTTGCCAGATTTCCCGCTCAAGCTTCATTTAACGTGTGAAGGAACAAATCGTGTTAATGACGAGTCTATAGTGTGTTAGTGTCAAGAAAACAGGTGGGCGGCTTCATGTGTGTTAATGATACTGTAGTAAGGAGTTTTCCAGGGTGATGAATAGGTCACAAGTAGGTGGAGTCATTTAAGTTCTGAATGAGTGTGTGATTAATACCATCTGTCCCTACATTTTATATCAACACACCCGTTATGTTACATGTGCGTGTGCGTGTCCACCCCAGTGTTACATACTCATTAAGACAAAGCTGCCAAAATGATGCAGCTTGTACTGCTTTTCTCTTTTGACGGATGCAGATCCTCTGCACACCGTGTTCACCTTTTTCACCCGCACGTTTACACTCACAGACATGCAACCGCTTTTAGCAGATCGGGGCCGTTTTCCGACATGACACTAAGTGCCAACCCCCTTTTCATCTGGTTTGGCAGCAGCAAAGACGTGTAACTTGTTGGCTTTACCCTAAGTCTAGGTGGCCTATTAGTAGTCTAAGAGATGTGAAGAGACTTGAAGAGGTGCACCACAGGTGTAACACCTCTAAGCCTCACTTGTTTGGTTTTTTTTTTTTTTACCTCCTGCTTTCTTAAGCTAACATAACAATTCAAAACAGCAACTCTGCACTTTGCACCACCGCTGTGAATTAAAAATACAACACCGATTATACATTAGTAACACCAGCAGTCAAGGCTCTCAGGACAGTAGTGATTAATTCAGTATCAGTAATTATGAATACAAATCTGTCAGATTTGTAAGGCAAGTTGTTTTTTTAATAGGTAACTGGCTACTTTAACAAAGTCTTTGTTGAGTATTGTAGCTGAAGGATTTGAGGTCAAGTGAGGAACTGCCTTTACCTCACAATTACCTCATCTTGACTTGACAATTTGCATTTAAATGAAGTATGACCAACACTGAGCCGACCTCACTCGACTCGCATCTTCTCTTCTTTGTTTTTCCATTTTTGAATCTGCACCTGAGATGATATTGGTAGACCTTAACCGAAATAGAGAATGAACTTAACATTATGTTTAATTATGTGCTACAAAATATGTACTAAATGATATGTACCACATAATGTGAGTGTCTTTGTGCCCTCACTTCCCAACTCATTGACCGACTGCTCGCTGCTCCCCACCCATCTGATTTACTGTTTACAAAAAAATAAAATCAGTGGCAGATTTACCTCTCACACAATGTGGGAGACAAAGGGAGGATTCTTATTTTTAGCAGACAGCTGTCAAATTAGCTGGGTGATATGTCACTAGCAGATTCATTAAGCTAATGTTAGCTCCACAACATGTCTCAACAGTAGTGTCTGAAAACCAATCGACTTGACAGTTGTTCATAAAAAGGTACTTAACAATCAATGTGATCACTTACATGATATGATGCTAAACGACAGGCTAAATCTATGTGTCCCCGTTTAAAAAAAATATTGCACATGCGCCAGATAATAATGGAAATAAAGAAACAGCAACAATAAATAGCATTAAAAATAATAAAAATGAATAAAATAAAAATAATAACTCCAGTATTAAAAGAATAGGGACAAACTATAAGATCAGACTGTTGGTTCCTGCTAACATAACCCAATCTGGTATTAGCTTATACTTGGACAAGGAAGATTGGTTGTCTTGTTTTGCATCTGGTTTTTTGTCCATTGATTAAAAATATCTGATTAATTCAAATATTGTAGGAATCCTTTGATTGTCCTGCCAGAACTTACCGCCGTCCACCATGTTCCTGGGTTGTCCAGGCCACAGTTGTCGCTGTACTCCAGGCAGCAGGAGTCTGGCACACGGGTGGTGTTGTAAACCTCAAACCAGTCTGTGTGGTTGGTGACTCCACAGCAGCGAAACTGCGCCAGAGGAAAACAATGCGTCAAGAGAGTCTGATCTGTTATTATTGTCCCAGCTGAAATCCTGATGCATGATAACAAATAAACATCCTTCTCTTATGGAAGCGATTCACCGGCCAAAATAATTCATATGTGCTGAACTGAGAAAACACTCCATCTCGCTGATATTGAGCTACAGCCCCTTTTGTATAGGCTACAATCCACATCTCATTTGTCTCACTGCCCCTAAAATTATTTTCTAACTCTCCTGCTTCGTTTTTATCTACATCTCCTCCCTTTGTGATTGGAATAGATTTTTGATAAGGGATCGTGGCTTTCCCCACAATTCAATTCATCAGTTGTATTTCATGGAAAGATAAAGTGCCCCTGATGTTTTGTTCATTCAGTGGACTTTAATTCCACACAGGAACAATGCTGCCTGTGCCGCTCCCCACACCACACTGCGTGCCCAGAATCGGGGATTGTGTATTAATTCAAAACTTGCTCATCACTTAAAACAGTGGATCAAATTTATGTGCAATTTATCATGAAGTACAGAAATATTCAAATGACCAGAAATCGTCCGAAGCAGCCTATAGTTTTAAAGTTGCACAGTCAGAAATATTCAAATGTTAGCACCTCAGAAAGTTAACAACCAGTCGGGCGTGTGACCATTACTGATTTATTGCACTGACATTTGGCGCCTTGTTGAATGTTTTTACAGCTTCTTCTCATGTATGTAGATCCTCTCCTATTCCATAAGAAGCCATTAATAATATTCAGGGTGAACTTTGCTACGAGGACATCTGCTGTATTATCTATTCAGTGACTCAGCATGTATGAAGGAGGCTTGGGAGGCAGAACAGTGACAGAATGAGAGCTGCCTTTTAATGGTCTTCATCTCAGCCAGACTCAGACTTTATGGAGCCCCATACATTCACACGGCACCGCTGATCTGACAAGGAGAAAGGTGCACATTCACGCTGGCACACAAGAACATTTTTTAAAACGGTGGCTCATCCAGGCAGATTCTCCTCGTGGTATCATCCAGTACGCAAGAAAAAAAACTAAAAAAACAAGTCTGCACATTAACACCCACACATGCCGACACACGCACACATTTGCATATATTATTCGCATAGCAGTGTCATCATTTTTATGCCTTTTTCAGTCGCATACAACACGGCCACACATTCACGCCATATGCCTTCCAGACACTAGATGTATGCATGCAAACAGACGAGAGCCAAACATTCAGCTTGTACCGCACATTTGCTAATGGAACAAAACGACGAGCCGTAACGCTGGAACTGTGACGTGAAAAAGGTCCAAAGAGCCCCGAAGTCTCCGATCTATCATTTGATGCCTCCCAAAGGCGTTCGCCAGCAGCGGCATCCGTCCTCTGCAATCCTTAATTCCAAATCTCTGCTTCTCACATTGTGTTTCCTTTGCAGCGGAATTCAAAGAAAAATATACAGTATATAAATAATACAAAGGAAAAAGAACATCAAAGTGAGAGCTGGAAACAAAGATTACCTCAGAGAGTCTATGGTGTTTGCATTAATCTCTCTGACAGCGTTTTACCACAGCATTTAAACTAGAGAGGCTTTGCGTGTTTGTCGGTAGAGGCCTTTCAGACTGATGCCATTTTGCTCTGGATTGCCAGTAGTTTTCTTTTTTTATCAGCCTGATTGTAAATGTCCAGATTCCATTAACTACAAAAAGGATTGCTGTGTTTTATTCACATTTTACACGGAACGGAAAAAATGTAAAATCAAATGGCCCTTTTGACTACTCCCTTTTAATTTAATGCGATTACAACGCGACAAAATGGTGAAACCTTGCCAATAGCAAAAGTAAGCACTGTCGCAATGAATAATGCAGTCGTAACGTCATGTATCTCAGCTTGTGACAAGGTATTTTGCATGACTTGACTTGCTAAATGGCATTGAAGTTAATATTGAATGGGCTGCGGTGCTCACAACAGACTCATGACTTCAACAAACTGTGACTGAGAGAAACAAAAAAGTTCTGGACTTTGCATCGTAAACATCCCCCCCCCCCTTCCTGTGATGTCACGTCTTACATCAGTTTGTACTATCATCCAGGCGTTGGTCAAACCCACGTTGCCCTCTGTGCCGAAGAGCTGGAGCCCCTTCTTCAGATCCCTCTGGGCGTAGTGATCAATCTGAGGAAATGGGACAGGAAAGATGATTTAATGAATTAAATTGATTAATCTTAGGTTTACATGTTGATCAGCTGGGCAGCGCATCTCTCTGTAAATAATAACCATAGTACAAATAGCATTATTATATATTTGAAAATGGTCTACATGGGTCCAGGGAGATGAGGACCGGCCCTGCCCTTCTGTATCATTTTATTTACCCGGTGTGTTTTATTATTCAGTTGAGAGGGGACGTTCAGTGTCATTAAAAACAGACACGTTTTCCTGTCTACGGCAAAAATGTTCCGAATATCTAAAGATATATTGTGGAAGATTGCTGTATTAGAGAAGCACACTGTATTCACAAAAGAAAAGAAATTTCAGAGCCTTTATCTCATCATCATGAGAAAAGGTTAAGGTGGTGATCAATCATTGCCATTTGAGAAGACAGAGGGATTATGGCCCTACCTCATTTAATTTACCTTTTATTTCCTTTTTGGTTTGAGACAGTTGGAGATATTAATGTCACTGAGTAATGTGGATGGTATTATCACGATGAGAAGGTTTTTTTTTTGTCTCTCCTTTATATCTACATGATGAATATGAGCTAAAATAGTTATATAAATATGTGGGTCTTATTTTTCAAAGTATTTCAGGAAACTTTTACAAGAAACAGGAAGTATAAAGTCACCGGGGATCCAGTGAGTTACACACAATTTATTGTAGCTTAGCTGGACTAGCTTCTAACAGTTCTTCTTGCTGTGTACCACTGGATGTAGTGAACACTGAATCACTGAAGCACTTTGATACTGAAGAAATCTTAAAAACCTGATGATTCTCAGGTGAGTTCTGAAGTGTTCCAGTTCCTGTCCCATTAGTTGAAATCAGCGGTTCACAAGACCTATCACTGTGATAAGCCAATGACAGGAACTTTTACATCATCGCCGCCAGTCTGATTGCGCGCTAAAATATTAAATCCATGGCAGAAAGTGGAGAATCAAAATGTATAGCTGGTTAAAGAGTCAAGAGACAGACGCTGAATCGACAAGAGATTTCTCCCTCTTCAAACAAAAGAGAAAAATTGAGCTTCCCCTGCTTTCGGTTCAACCCTGAATGTTCGATCTTTATCATTAAAATAAAAAGCGAACGTATTATTTGGCCTCCATATTGTTACAGGGTCGGATGTGGGGCGCCAACTTCTTTGCCTTGAGTTGGAAAAGGTTGGGAACCACTGGTGTAAAATATGTTGTAATGATGAGATAGTTTTCTCATCATTACGAGATCAGGATCTTGTTATTATCAGGTTGTTTCTTGTAATTATGAGATAGTAAGTCATAATTATGAGATAAGTTCGGCAATTTTTTTTGTTTGAGAATGCAGTGCACTTCTGTAGTTGCATGTTAGCACACTAGTTTCCATGGCAGGCCAGTAGTTTACATAGTGGAGTTTCAAGGTCGTGTGGTGGACCACATGACATCCTAAACACAAGGTTTTATGGGTAGAAGAAAGTAGACACTGAAACCTGGCTGCAGCAGTAAATGCACTGAGAGACACTGCGGCCTGTACTGTTGTTCAATCCACTTTGCTGAATTTAAAGTTACTGATTTTGCTTTGACTGAACCAACACACTGCAGGACGATGAGCGACTGAGCTGCTGTCCTATAAACAGGCCACATGCAGATCCATGTGGGTTTAGTTCAGAAGCTCTGCTTCAGCACCGTCAACCTAAACAAACAAGATAAAAACATTTAACAAAATCAGCTTTTCCCGTAAGCTTCGAGTCAAAGAAACAGTCACAATGATAAACAGGCTTAAATTCACTGAACCCCTCTGCAGTTAATGAATCTAAAATATAATCATTTAAAATTAACGGCACAGTCGGAGAGCATGGGCGATATATACGAACAGTAAACAAAACTCCAAACCCACACGCACACTCACAAGCCAGTCATCCTTGTTTACACAGTCAGACGGTCAATCTCATCAGACATCAATCACATTGATCCCCACTGACCTTGCTCTCTCCTACACTGCAGCCTTTTAGCCTGTGGAGTGCTGCAGGCACCAAACACCTTGTTAAATCTGCCTTCATACACTCTTCATACACATTGACTGTGGAAAATGGGTTTCTGCATACATTTAGTGATGATTCTTAACGTTGCATTAAATGTATTAGAGGATGAAGAGGTGAAGTTGTTACCTGACAAAGTCTTCCAACAAATTTCGATCAATGTAATCGGACATTCCCGTGAGACAAAGTTCAGTTAAGCTAGGCAGCAAAATGTGTGATTAGTTTGGTTTAACACACCACTTCCTGGACTGTTATTGGTCTTTACTTCAAATTTGTAATGTAGAAACATAGTGGATATATTCTGGAAACATCGGCTTTCTCTTTAACTACCCACTTAAATGAGTTTCTGGATAAAGTTGTGTTAAAGTAAGTTGTGGAGTTTCTGGTCACCATTAGAACCCTGTTTTGTATGGATGTCATACACATGCATGAGCACATAGCAGTGTAATACGAATGCATGCCAAAGGTTACACAATATTCCCCTAATAGACAGCTGGACATGGCAACTTGCCAATAATTGTAGCAAAGCACCAGCAGAGGTGAGGAAGAAAAGAAAATGGATGTAAACAACCCAGGATTAAGAATATTCTCTGCAGATAATAAATGTAGTGCATCTGATCACGACCCAGCCAGTGATCATGTTTGCCATTGCAGCGTAATTGGAAAAACAATTCGATAGGTTATACTATAAACAGACAGAGTCGGTGAAGCTGACTTCACATGTTGTTCCCTGTTTGAGCCATTTTTATTGTTCATAAAAATAAAGTCGCAGATTTAAGAGGAAGCGTTCTTTTCCCACAATCTGTGACGGAGGAACTCATGAAGGAAATAGTACGGCAGGTAATTTCAGCCTACATGAGAGTATATGTATTTAAGGCCTTATTACGTGTTTATTTGAGGTCATTAACGTGCCTGCAGGTCTGAGCTGCTGTGTGAAGCAATTTTTATCATCCTACTGTCTGGAGAGTAAAAAGTGTCCCGGGGCAAGATAAACCATGTGTTCAGCTTATATTCTATTCACTGTAATTACATTCAACACTTACATTTGCACAGGCGGTATTCTCTAATATTACAGAGCGGATATCACTATGCCAGACTGCTGAACTTACAATGAAACAAAGAGGGGCTCATAATGTAGACGGATAATAAATGGGCTGAATGTGAATAGACAATAGAGGAAAATGACACCAAAAGGATGTATTAAAGAAACCAAGGAACAGGCTGAATTAGCATGAAGAGGTTATGACAGAAACACATGCAGACATGATGCCAATCTGTCCCCGTCTCATCTTTTTTTGTCCTTTTTTATAAATGTGTTTTCACAACAAAACACATTTAAGGCAACAAACCACAGCTACAGTTTCATATTTTCACTCAAAACAACAGCGCTGTGAAAATCTGCTCAATAAAACTGCCAGGCACAATTTTGTGGGGGTGTGGTGACTGTGTATACTAACATGATAGTTGCATCCCTGCGATTATTTTATTTTCCCCAAAAGAATTACAATCTTCTCATACAAGTAAAGAACAGAAAGGCACCTTGACACTTTGAGACGACAGCGTACTCTTCGCACATTTATTCCCAGTTGTCAGCCCAGTTTGGAATTGTATACGGTGCCTATTGGTAAACAGTGGCACACCATGATGAACTTCTGAACCCTTATTGATACTTGATCTGCAGCTGTTGCCATGGGGAACAACACTGATGATCAACGAAGCAAACTCTTACCCTATGTTTTGGTGGGGTACTGTTTTCACATCTATGTTTTTTGAGGCTTTACTGTTGCAGTTGTGCTAACAGCTGTGGTTTTACGTCTTTTCCATTCATTTTCAGCATCTCAGCTGATGCTTCCTCATCCGACAAGTGAACTTTCTTGTTTGCCTCTGATAAAAACCGTACTGAGAGAGCAAAAGTAAAAACCTTTTCAGTTTAACATTTTACCTTCAGAGAGCACAATTGACCCCTGTCCAGAATGTCCTAGTTTTGAAAGTAAAGTAACAAAAGAACTCCTAGAAAATAAGTTTGTATTCAACCAATTTGCAACAGTAATACATTTCGCGGGGAGTGCAATATTTTCTTTCCTTTTCCCCCTCTGGTTTTTGTCGGACCAAACAAACCTTTTCATGACAGTAGCAGCAGCAAATCTCTCTTATATTCAGGTCCTGTCTCATGATTTTGTGCTGCCTGTCTTTGCTGTGCTGAAAGTCTCTGTCCTGCATCTTGCTGCACTCTTCCTGGACACCCTCACCTTTCTGCACTCCTTCCTGGCGGAACAAGCTTTAGGATTATTCCTTTGAACTGACAGTAAATGCATCAAATGAACTTTTGCAAAGATAAATCACTGAAATATGAACTGACAATGGCACAACAATGCAGATTCCTGTATTTTCCCGCCTCAACATGCCGTCTCAAATGTCTCAGACTCGTTCACAGAGAACCCTAAACCTTGATTAACAGGAAGGAAAAGCGATAACTAAAAAAGCAGAGCAGAATTAAGTAATTTGCGTATTTATTGCTACTCTTACCTCTTAACACTTAGGAAAAAGGACTTGAAGTAATTTTCTGCTTTTTTCAACTGCTTGACAAGCCCACAGAGGTGACGGGAATCATAGATGCAACAGCTGGTAGTCAACCTAGTTTCTGCAGACAACACTGCAGCCACGAGACGAATGCAACCAGGCAACATCCGACCCTCTGAGGGACAGGAAGCAGTCCTGACATGTAAGGAGAGATCTCAGGTGTCTTTTTTAGCTTGAACTGGTCGAGCACTGTTGGCCTTGATTGGCCCGACTTGAGTCTTGCCACTGAGTCAAATTAGATGTTGCATTAAAATCTGTAAACACAAAAAAAATCATACTTTCGATGCCTCAAAGAGACAAAGATAAAAGAGAATTCTGAATGAAAAGACAAATGACACAGAATGTAATTTCTTGCAACAAAAAAAAGAACTTT